CACGCTACAGTAACATCAACAGCTAACGCTGAATGCCGCGTAGGTGACAGACGTAAGCGTTTCACTGATCTCCTGCTGTCACGCTACAGTAACATTAACAGCTAACGCTGAATGCCACGTAGGTGACAGACGTAAGCGTTTCACTGATCTCCTGCTGTCACGCAGGTAGTAGTATTTCGCCCATTTTACAGGTTAAGAATCTGAAGCACAAAGTGTTTATGACCTAAGTCACACAGCTCATCTGGGGGGCGGGGTGAGACTGGAGTCCCAGCCGTCAGGCTTTGCCAGCCTGGGCAGGACGTGTGTCAGGCTTTGATCATTGACAAATTGCCCCCAGAGTTTTAAAAACCCTGTTTACACACGACAGCCATGTGAGAGCTTCCCGTTTCCTGAGCTGCTGCCAGCACTGCACCCTGGACGTGATACTGCACTTGGTTTCCGTCACTCTGTTTGCCACCTGAGTCTAGGCTGGGTCTGATGTGCCACACATTCCCTTCTAACACGGTTCCTGACTGGAGACTTGTCACTTCCCTCAAAGATGAACTCCCTATAAATCCTAGGTCCACACTTTCCAAGGGGAATGTTCGTCCTGCTTATCACTTCCCTGTGAGATGCCAAGGGACACAGGGCAAAAGAGAGCGAAGAGATGAGCCGTCAGAATCCATCAGCACTGAGAGCTTCCGAAGGAGCGCTGATCCTGCCCTGGGGGCTTTATGGGGGTGAAAGGATTAGCAAATGATACAAACCCCATTCTAATCAACAGTTCCGAATGTGTTAAGCCTCCAGTTGTCTTCCATTCTGACTCATGGCGACCCCCTGTGTGTCAGAGCAGAACTGCGCTCCATAGGGTTTTCAACGGCTGATTTTTCAGAAGCAGATCGTCTGAGGTGTCTTTGGGTAGACTCGAACCTCCAGCCTTTCAGTTAGCAGCTGAGTGCATTAACTTTGCATCACCCAGGACTCCAGATGAAGGCTTTAGGGGATAAATAAACACTAAGGCAGTTGGCGCTGACTCCATGCGGGAAATGGATGTATCATTTGAAGGATGGAAATAGGAGGAGAGTGTGTTCTAGGAGCAAAAAGCCCAGGAGAGTCCAGCCTGGGAAAGCGAGGGCCCTGACCCGAGCAGGGGAAGCAGGAGCTCCAGGCGCAGGTGGGCATCACCCAGCTCTGGTGTGACTCTGTCTGTTAAGGGGAAGGGTCTTCTGGTTCTTACCTCTTTTCTGCCTTCCCGAATTGAGTCACCCTAATCATGGGTGGAAGGAGCTCTGGTGATGCAGTGGTTAAGTGCTAGGCTGCTAACCAGAAGCTTGGTGGTTCAGACACACCCAGCAGCAGCTCTGCAGGAGAAAGACCTGATGATCGGCTCCTGTAAAGATGATAGTCTAGGAAATCCTATGTCATATGGGGTCGCTATGAGTCGGAATCGACCTGACGGCCCACAACAATGATTTTCCTAAGAACAAGAAATAATTTAGTTACTATTTTTATTTTCTGATATTTTTAAAACATTAGGTTCTGTCTTAACCAAGAAAATTGGAAGAATTCCTCCTTAAGAAAAAACTTTAAAATCAATAATAAACAGTAGTAAAAAATCCTATACTGAGAGGCCCATACAACAAAAGACTTTAAGCGTTGTTTTTGCTGCTTTGAGTTGCCATCAAGTCGACTCTTGACTCCTGGCGACCCCATGTGTGCAGAGTAGAACGGCTGCTCCATAGGGTTTTCAAAGCTGTGACCATTCAGAAGCAGATCTATATAATAATAATTTTATAAAAGCCCAATGTACATGTTTAAAAAAACTCCAGAAGAATGGACGTCAAACAGTATATTCTGTATGGACTGCTAAGGAATTCCTTAGGTGTGATGGTGGTGGTGTGGCTGTCGGACACTGCGCTTATTCTCGGGGGGTGTGTGCTGCCAGGGTGGAGTGTTTGTGGAACTGATTTCCAAACAGGTCTCGACAATAAATAAGTAGGTAGGAGATGAGAGAGGGAAAACACTGCAAACGTTAACAATTGCTGAGTCTAGGGATGGGTATATGGGGTTCATTGTACAAGTCTTTTAACTTTTCAGTAGACTTAAATTTTTTCAAAATAAAAAGTTGGGGAAAAATGTATCTTCTAGGTGAAAGGATTACCGGTGATGGCAGCAAAGCTGTAAGTCAGGAATTGCGGAAATTGATGAGCCGACTATTTTTTGATCCTTGCAGCTGAGGACTGTGTGCTAGACTTGCAGTGCTGAGTCAGGTGTTTGTGCTGTTGTATAAACAGCTACTTTGGACAAGCTTGTGTGGCACTATGTTGGCCCTTGACCTGAGGAGCACTGTACACTCTGGGTGCTGACTGTCCACTCAAGGGGACTCGTGCACACTGCTCATACCTCATACCCTTAGCTTGCTGTAAGACACCCACTCGGTAGACTCTTCTCAGCTGAACCCTGCACCTGCTGGCTGGACTGATACACTCTCCATGTGAGCACACCCCGCCCCTTGGTCCAGCCCTTCCCCCTGTGGGGGCCTGGCCAGAGGAAGGACTATGGGGTGCTGTTGCCACAAGCAAGTAATCAGCTGTACTCACGACCTCCAGAAATGGGGACAGACGACAAAATGCTGTGCAGTCACTGACAATACTGCAGAAACGTATCGACTGACAGGAAAAGATCATCACAACATGTAATGAAAAAGCAGGCTAGGGAATAGTATGGGTGGTATGAGCAAATTATTTAAAAAATAACAACCACACTCATGGATTTGGAAGGCTGTACACTGGTTAACTGGCTCCCTTGGGTGGGTGAGATTTGGGCTGTTCTTTTTGCTTACCTATATTTTCTGACTCTTCAGTAACGAATATGTTCAAAAGGCAAAACAAGTTGGAATGACATTTAATAAACAAATCCCACTATGGCACTTCCTCATAAAAATTCTAAAGTGGGGACTGCATAATACCTGTTGACAGGATGCAGCCTCCACTGGGGTCAGACTTGGGGTTCTGGTCTTGGGACAGTTGGGTTACATCTGGGCTCTGCCACCCCTTAGGCTGCCTACCTCTAAGTCTGCGCCTTCATCTATAAAACGGGGTGGAAGTAGCAATAGACACCTCACAGCTTTGTGGAGGACTAGATACTACACAGAAAGCTCTTGGCACAGTGCCTAGTGGTTCTAAGTGCTCAGTAAAGGTTAGCCACTGCTACTACCATTAGACGTCCTCAGCTTTCTCTCAGGGCCTAGCAGATGCCTTCTGTTTACACTAGCACCAGGCACTCTGACAGCTGTGCTGTGCATCTTCCCTTGTTGCTGTCGGAGAAGGGAGCAGTTGGGAGCCACAGCAGCACTCCTGGCCATTCTCCCTCGCTGAAGCCTCCTTATCCTGGGTGGGAGGGAGAAAGTGCTTATTAACTCTGCCAGCAGTTAGAGCCTGGTGCTCAGGAGGCCAAGGCCGAAGACCATGGTCTGAAGCCCCATAAGGAAGTATCTCTCGTCACCACTGTTGGGGAGGGGCCGGGGGGAAAAATTACACCTTTAGGGCAAACGAGCACATTTATTTGGAAAGCAATAATTTCAAAATTATCTTCCAAACTCTGAGTTACATGGGTAAATACTCATCATTCACATACTGAAATTTGAAATTAACCACTTATCTAGAGTGGTGTTTTTCCAAATTTCCCTGATAAAAAATCACCTGGAGTGCCCTGTAAACACAGCTTCCCTGGTCATCATCATAGAGATTAACTGATTCAGTGGGTCTGGGATGGGCCAGTAATCTGGAAAGTTTTATTTTTACAAATACCCCACAGATGATTATCATCAAGGAAACCAGGGAAGCACTGATCCGCACACGATTCTCAGCTTCCTTTGCAGATGTGAAGTCGTGGGCTACTGACATCCCACAGTGACCCACTGAAAAGTCTTACCCAGTCCAGTTAGGAACAGAAGCTAAAACCAGTCTTTTGACCATCTGGTTGAATAGCTTCTCCTCTCCAGCACTGTCACCATCCTTTATTCTGGTCGCTTCCTGAAGGCACTGTTGCTTGTTCCCATTACTGGCCCAGCTGTTCCACATCAGGTTTTTCTTGGAGGTTCCATCTTCCTTGAGTTGAGATACAGCAATCAGATCAAATCATTTTTTAAATTGATTTCTCATTAAAGGATTGTAATAACCTTTGCTTGCTTCTACCTTGCTCTCTTCTCTCTTGAAACTCGTTAAGAAGCTGGGCGCTTTATATAGACTCAACATTCAGGTCTTTCCACCTTAAATCTCATACTGACGACCCCGTCTATGCCAGCCTGGATCTCATCGTTTTCTTTAACAGGCCCAACCCCCTTTGGCGTGCCGGTCAAGATGATATCGCCTTCCTCCAAGGTAATGATCTTAGAAACGTAGCTGATGATGTAGGGGATGGAAAAGATCATGGAGGAGGTCTCACCCTCCTGCCTGAGCTCGCCGTTGACCTTGAGCCAGAGCCTCAGCTTGTGAGGGTCGGGGATCTTCTCCTTGGGCACGAACGCGCTGACGGGGCAGGAGGCGGTGAAGCCCTTGGCCAGGGTCCAGGGCAGCCCCTGCTTCTTGCACTCGTTCTGCACGTCTCTGGCGGTCATGTCCAGGCACAGGGCGTAGCCGGCCACGTAGTCCATGGCCGCGGCCTGGGGCACCGCGCGAGCGCGCTGGCCTATCACCACGCCCAGCTCCAGCTCGTGCTGCAGGTCGCGGCTGTAGGCGGGCATGAGGATGGGCGAGCCCTCGGGGGCGTAGGCGCTGGACGGCTTCAGGAAGAGCACCGGCTCGCTCAGCACGGCGCTCCGCATCTCCCTGGCGTGCTCCGCGTAGTTCCTGCCCACGCACACGATGTTTTTGCCCCATTCCCAGAAGCGGGACAGCTGCCTGGGAGCCGCCATGGCGCTCGCGGGCGACCGGGCACGGCGCCCCGAGTCACGTGGGCCCCACGGGGTCGAACACGGTGCCTACGGCTGCCCCGAGGGGACAAATCAACTCCGAACTGTCCCGTCGGCGACAGCCCGGTCCCCTCAGCGCTTGGCCTCCTGGGAGCCGCTGTCTGGAGGCTGTCTCGCTGCTGCCCCGCCCGAGGAGGCCGGCCGTGCCCCCAGAAGGAGGCTGAGGTCAGCGTGCAGCTCCCGGGCAACCGACACCCCCTTTCGGGCTCCCGGCAGCGGGTACTGGCAGACTGCGGCTTCGACGCCAGCGAGCTGATTGGCGGGGGTGGGGCGGGGCGAGCGCGCTGATTGGCGGGGGCGGGGCCCGGCGGCGGCCGCTGATTGGCTGCGGTGCGCCTGCGCCGGGCGTTGTGCGGCCCGTGCCCTGAGCCCGTCCCCCGCACCGCCCCGGTCATGGTCGTGGGCTGCGGGCTCATCGGCCGCCGGAGCCTCGCCGTCCTAGGAGCCTGCGCTCGCCGCAGCCTGGG